CCTTTTTCTTTATTTAGTAAAATTGACTTTTTCCGGCTGGGTATAGCTATCTTCTCCTATTCTCAAATGATTCACATAAATTTTATTGTTTTTAAAGATTTCATAGTGCACTGTTAAATTAAATATTATTCATGGTTAGATTTAAAACAAAATATTATAAACATAAAACTACCTCTTTTCTTGTTGAATTGAATTTCACACAATAATATTTAATTTATTCAGTTTATTCATTAAAATAAAAAAGAAAATTAATTCTATCTTAGAAAAATTGTTAATTTTATTATCTCCTTAATCAAATCTCTATTTCATATTAGGTTTAAATGAAAACACTAGTATACAATAACATTTTATAAAGCGCACTAAACTAACCTATAACATAAGAAATGTTTTAGTTGATTAAAAGTTACAAAATTTCATATCGACAAAGCTTTAAAAAATATTTTGAAATAAATCAATTGTTCCAATCGAACAATGGTCCTTAAACAAATTAAACATAATAATGAACATTATTATTATTGTCTAATAAAAATGTTACATTCCAATCCTATGGGACTTGATCAATTGAATGTTCAGTTGTTTTCCAACTATTTAATCGATGTTAATATAACATACAAAAATGTTCTCTTTAAAAAAATAATCAAAACTGCTGAACATTTAAGAATAACACAACTAGAAAAGTATTCAGATTGTCTTTGTGAAAGCAATAAATAAAAGTGATCAGGATTATAAATACTATAATTATTATTATTATTGTTTATACTATGGGGCTTGATGTTTTTGTCATATTCATTACTGTTTATTCTGTATTCCTTACTATCACTCCATTCATTTAGTCGGTTTCTTTTCACCTTAACATGAATACTCTTTGTTGTTAATGTATCTTATTTACTATGAAGTATGAACTTGGTTGAAGGAGAGCCGTCGAATTAATTCATGTAGACACTAGTTCAATACTTTGATTACCTTACTCCTTATTATTACTATATTTACAGTTGATCTTTTCCTACTGTCATAAACCGATACAACAATTCAGTGGTGCAAATTAAAACATTTCCAAATTTAGGTGTTATTTTCCGCGTAACCTTTGTTCTAATTTTCATTTTGGAGTGTTGAATTTTTACTAAAAGAATTTTGTTGCTCTTTTTCAGTTTTTTTTTATCAAGAAAACAAAGTAAAAAGCTTGTTTTTATTATTAGGAATATTCACTTTCCCAAATGTTCAGTGTGAAATTATTGGACGTTGAACCTATGACTAATAGAATCCTTTTATGTTTTTATTCATAATGTACGGTTTTACATATTTGTATGTTAATAGATATATTTGTTCTATTTCACTGTGTGTGTAACATAGGTTTACGTGTATTGAATAACGAATATTAATTATATTCTGTATACATATTCTACTGTGTACTATGAATATATATATAAATATAAGTGGACGATAAAGTGACACTTGCTTTTGCTATTTACCTGAAATGAGTATTGTTAATGAAGCTAATAAATATTTTACTAGTTATAAGCAGTTATAACATCATAGGAAGAGATCAAATGACCTGTACCGATTAGAAGACTGAAAGGACTCAAATGACCGTTATTTGGTGACTAGTAAAAGTAAAGTTATTCCATAACACTGAAAATACCTTATCTTTAGTCACGTGCATATAGGACTCTTAAGAAAGTGCTAAAGTTTGTATAAGGCTACCGTAAAGATACGAATGATATCGTATCACAGTTCATTAGTGTGCTGACTGCACTACTACTTAGTTCTAACAATATTTAAACAGTATTAAGAACTAATTACGTATTTTTAAACATAATGCTAGAGACAGATCGTTCCATGGTGTAAAACACCAGAAACAATAGTTCAGATAATTTTAAAATTTACTAATATGCACTGACCGACATATTCCCTTAAAGAAAGGCAATGAGAAGATTAGTAGTACTTTATAATTACCCTCCTTAAAGAGTTGTATTTGTTTATTGCAACAAAACAGTAATCTTAGGGGAGAACCATGTAAATAAATTCGTGGTTATTCACAATCTACAATGAACAAGATATTGGTTTTAGACAGCATTCTAGTTCAACCCGATAAGGCAGATAAACTAGACGTATATATGAATGAGAGTGATGCTGGATTAATCCACCAATTACAACTCACGCTGAATGAACAAGATAAACGAGTTGATAATTTCATGAAATGGGTGCTTCTTCATGATTAGTTAAGTCATTATTTAGCATAAACTAAAAGCATAAACACAAAAGATTATCGTCAGTTACAAATAGTCTATGTACTAACAAACTTTACCAGAAAAACCTCATATTTTTATCTTCATAATCGGAAGGTAGGAGAATTGTTGATAAAATTAGGGAGATCACACGGAAGCGTATAATATGTATACCCGATGTGTATAGATGGTCACACAAAAGTCAGCGTTATAATCGCAAACACACAAAAAGGTTCACAATTAGAAGCATCCTACAAAATAGATATTGCTCATTCGTGCAGAATTTTCAGTAACACCGTAATGACAACAAATCAAGGAAGTATTGCCTATATAAATAAAGATTTCATTCAGCTTTATCTGATCGGTCCCAAAATTAACCATAAACGAGCTGACCGTAGGTGATAATCATTATATGAATTAAAAGCCATGAATTATCTACAAATACTAAATATTCCCTCTTTGTCAGATCTCAGAACATAGGCATACTTCACGACCGATGATTGCTGTATTCATTAACCTTAGGGCACGATACGACTCTATTAATCGGGAGACTGAGTGGCAGTATATGTCACTAAAATACATCAGTCAGCTACAACGTAGGACCAGGCACATATACACATCGGTCCAGGTTGCCACATCTCATTAGCACAAGATGAACACCAAATTCATAGAAGTAGTTACTTCAGTGGTGGTAATATACAAAAAAGATTACATATAAGGATACAATACAGAGAGAAAGAATTAGTTCGTAGAAAGGAAGGTACCAAGTAATTCTAATCTCACGGTTTAATGAAAGATAAGGAGTGTATACACCTAGACCGTTGTGATCGATTCTGAGCCATGTCACTTAGAGTCTCCAACCATTGGTCACGATAGTCGCGCGGATCCTAACCATGTAGTGTGCATCTACCAACATGGCTCAGACCAGAAGTTAGTGACTTCAAGTACTGATTAGACGTTTTGGTTTGGCCACCCTTAACTCCCTTCCAACCGTCTCCAACACTAGTCAGCATTTGGCATCGTGATAATCGGTGTTCAGGCATACGTAACACGTAACCCAACCATCTCAATCGATGAAGATTCAATTTCATCAACTGATTTACCATCGTTTCCTAATACTCCGCGTCTAACCTCACTCTTACTTACACGTTGATATCAGCTGATGCTGGCAATACTTCGAAAATATGTGATCAAATAATAGTAACTTACGAGTTTCTTATACTTTTAATAGCCACGTTTCGCATCCGTATATTAGAAAAGAACGAATTGCCGGGCAGTATACTCATCCCCTAATTGATAGACGGACATCTCGCCTTCGCCATAGGTGACGTAAGTTGGCAAAAGCCAAATGAGCTTTCTCAATCCGTGCAGTTTTCGTCAGACATCAACCCTTTAGGGTTCACTAAAAAACTTACGAAAAATATACACCAAACGTGTACACTCCAGATAGAAACCACTGGCCAGGTCACAGCTTATGACACTTATCAGGATTGTCTATTCCATGATGTATTCGTTAGTGCTGTATCCATTTATACTTAACTTTGCCACAAGTATCAACTAACTATTCAGGGTTTATTCCATTACCGTGAGACTCACCGATTTAGAATACTCAGACGATATAGTTATATTTGGTGAAGACGCTGACAAAATGCAGTTTTCCGATTGCCATGAGCAGCAGTTTTAACATGCCTGAGATGCCATCCTCCACCTTTAAACGCAGAATTTCACTTCAGGTCTGAGTGCCTGAATTAATAATAGAGTGGAATAGTTAAGTGCATCAACCGTTCCACTTGTCTTGGAAGTTTCATCAGTCTTGACGGTCTAGTCTGACGAAATCAGGGCACGGATCCAAAACGTTAGCCTGGCTTTTGCTAACATGCATCACTTGTGGCGTAGGAGACATGTCTACCAACCAAAGGAAGTTTTTTGCACAGGAGTTCGCTTCGTTCCGTTTTATGGATGTAAAACATGTCCATCAAGAACAGAGGATATTCGCAGGTTATTAGTATTCGATCACATGTGTCTTTAAAGCATCGCCCACATAATTTGAGACGACTGAGTAAGCAATGCCAAGGTTATGAATATGGTGCTAGGTAGAGGCGGTTAATCGATTAAAGTTAGTAAACCTTCATTGACTAAGGTGATTGGAACACGCATTACGTATCCTTGCCCCCCAACCTCGACGGGGGATGCTATCTGGTGCAGGAGTAAACTGAAGGGAAACTAGGGATGCACAGACCAATGGCGTCACTGACTGAGCCATGTCAGTAGATGTAGACTACTTGGTTATGGTTCATGTGATTATCGTAACCAATGGTTAGAAGCTTCGGATTACGTGGCTCAGGATCGTTTGCAGTGACACAGATATGTTCGCTCTTTATATTCCTTCAGTCCATGAATCCCAAAATTTCCTTATATATTTTTTCCCTTTTCTATATCTGATTTTTTCCACTACTACTGCTCTGGGATTCTTCTTGATAACGTTATCTCGCTGTGCTAATGTGGTGTGGCAACGTGAACCGCTACACTGCTGTGTAGTTCCACATGGCTGACTGATTGACTGACAGAAATCAAACACAAATCCAATCTGTAACCCTAATCAAGAACAATGTGAGAAACTTTTCTGTGTTCTTACAAGAGCTCAGGAAGACGGATTTTCCATAGACAAACATATTTATCATTTTTTCTTGAAATTCTATGGAAGACTTCAATAGATTCACCATGTAAAATCTTCCTAACATTATTGTTCTTCCCTATAGACTATTCAACGAAAACAAATGTTAGCTGATTAGCCAGAAACGAGCTAAAATTCGTCCCGATTATTTCAAGAATTGCCAAGCCCATTACTCACTAAATTCTTATGAAATATCATTTATACTTCACATAAAATCTGGAGTCATCCAACACTTTCAAATTAAAATACCTTTTGGTATAATAAGATCAGAACAAAAAACAATTAATTAACAGGAAGAAATAGCCATACATAAAGAATAATATGAAATATAAATGCAAATACCCAGCTATCAGTTTACTTTGTACACAAACACAATATTTGACTGAGTTTAGATAAATATTACTAATTTATAACCTAATAATAAGTTCACCGAATTCTATAGTATTGTCATAAAATGAACAAGAAACTACGGTTGATTGCATAAAATCACTTTTCAACTGATTAATTTCATGATTGAATGACCAGTCAATACCATAGGCTAATTGTTTATTAGTCAAACGAAATTTATATACAGAATCCTCTTCATCTTCTGCTTTGTGATTAAAAGGTGACCGTAATGGTAGGTGTGCAACAGCGAAACCATCATGTATTGCACTGACTATAACATAATTTTGTGGACCCCATTTATGACGCCAAACTCCACCAGCGAACTGACATTTCTGTAAAGGAATAGTGGTAGTATTGATGACCTTGTCAGAAGAATGAATCATACGTAAATCCCACAAATACAAAGTATCATCGTAACTGCGAAAGTGTACACATATATTAGAAAACAAAGCGAAAATTAGTTGGTGATATTGATAATAACATTTGATTAAATATAATATTGATATAAGCTACAAGAAAAAGATAATCCTTTAAACTACGGAGTTTATCATCGTTGTCCAAGTTCAAAAAACATCGATACCATAGTCTGACAAAACTGAAATGTACCGTAACTAAATGTAATCATTAGTAGAGTTCAGGTGGAAATTTTTAATATATAGTAATGACAGATAAGGCGGAATTATTCTATTAATTCATTTACCAGGCACAAATTCACATACTCGGCTTTTGGTCACACGAAATATGTGAGCTAGATAATACCAAGTGGTCGTTTAAACGGAAGTGGAGTTGGCTTTAAATCTGCGACTTAGTGCCTGAAAATCGAACCTCTGAACTAGTGACTTACTGTTCCATATTATAATGAAACACGAATCGTGCAAGTACGCGTTTGATTGTTTTGTATCATGAAATAATTAAATTCGGAAAGTTCTACTTACACGCAAGTCCAACATAGTAGTTAGACAGAAATGTTATAACCCTAGAAATCCAATCCGATCTCGGAAAGTAAAGTTTGTTAGGACATAACAATATAAATACATATATTCAAAAGAATTGTAAGTTTTAAAGTTATTAAATTCGTCAATTCAGACCAGAGAGAAACTTCATCTATAAATCAACTAAAAACACAATTTCATTAAATAACATTTATTTCTATTTTTTCTTTGACAGATAACTCCTATCTGTTCGGAAAATGTAATAATCACAAAGAACATTTATTACTTACGTTTAACAATAACATGGTCAGAAATTTGAATTTTCTATTCAGTTTGCCGAAAATTTTAATATTTGGTTGAATTTAATCAATTGTTTTATAATATTATCATACAATAATAATATTCATAATAATGTAGATGTGTTTACCATGTTTCTTTTTTTCAAATAAATATGTTTCAATAAGAATTAATAAAAATAATGTATCCTAATGTGTAGAAAAATTAAATTTTCCGATGTTACATGACTCAATGTAAGCCACTTCTCCAGAGAATGAATAAACAAATTCAATTAACCCAAGTTTAAGTAGTACAAAGGAAGAATATTTGGTGCGAACAATCAAAAAACAACTCTAACCAAGTCAATGTCATATCATTTCGGTCAAGGTGACTAATGTGAGGCATGTTTTTACATTTGTATGTATATATGTTAGACTGAAAAATGTGACTTTTTGGTGTGAATTAGTATGTGTGATAATGTTGTGAGATGCGAGTAGAATCAGATATTGTAGCTCAGATAGATGGTCCAAGTCGGACGAATAGTGAGGCCTTCTTTTCTATTAAAAGGAGTAGGATTAAGCAATATATGGAAAGCTTCAGCTACTCGTCTTTCATTGTAGTTGGAAAAGCCTTTTTATATTGTTTTGACGTTTTAATTGTTGAAAATTACATGAACTGCTATTGTCGATTTAATTTGGAGTCTCTCCAGTTCTACGGGATTATTATTTGATTTTCTTGTGTACCTAAGATGTTGTTTGGCTCGAGTGAAGATCTCACAAGATGACTCTTCGGTGAAGACGTCACAATTGACACATCATAATTTGTAGATATAATTTTTAGTTTATATAAAAGGGATATTTCCTTTAAGCGAACTAAAGCGTTTCGAAAGGTGTTTTATCTATTTATTCATTTGAGCACATAAAGATTGGTACAAAGCGGCACCGAATACATATACACCACACAAGTCACTTGGTTTGTGTGTGAGTCTGCTATGATACTGCCCGGGTGCCCAGATCGAAGCAGGTGGTTTTCTTAGGGGACCACACCCGGAGCCTTTGAACTAAAGGTCTGATCCACGAGGCAGTGGAGAAACGTAAGAAGATACAGTCTTATGGTAACCAGTAACCAACGATAGGTTCATACACCATTTGTTCCTTTAGGATGCTGGAGCCTATATGCATCATTGGTTTAGAATCAGGGTTTCCCAACTCCCCTAGGTAAACTCTCTGTGTCCACCAACTAGGTTAAGTCGCTGAACATTCGCTTCTCGTCCTCTTAATTTTGAAGGGTGTTCTTTTATTCTTAATATACTTTAATTCTGTGTTATCTTAAGACTTTTTGTAATTTTTCTGTTGTATCATGGCGATATGGTAAAACTACAGTACCAATCCATGGTATATCATTCGGATTATTATTTAGCAGTAACACGTTTCGTTTTATGACACTTTTAATAATCTTCATATGGGTATTATCTAACTGTAAAATGTTAATTACATGCTTTCATTGATTTTGTTTATCCTCTTAAGACGTAATAATCATGTTTGCTCTTCTAAAGACGTTTAGGACTAGAAGTTTTTGCACTGAATGGATGTCCTGAATAGTAGTCGATAAAATGATTTGAGTGCGTTGGTTTTCGATAGATAGTTAGATTTAGAGCTACACTTAGATTTCTTTTAACTGAGTAATCCAAAAATGGTAGCTCATCGTGTTCATTTCCATTCTCGTACGTAAATTTAATGTAGGATGAGAGTTTATTGATCATTTCAGAAAAAAACTTTTTATGACAGCAATAGTATCATCTACATATATGAAGCAAGTTCGTAGTTTAATATCATTGGCGAAAGTATTTGATTCTTTGTGTGACATAAACAGGTTGCCTAAAATCGGGGACACGGGGGATCCCAATGCTACTCCGTTTTTTTTTCTGCTAACATAACGTCCCGTTAAAAGTGAATAAGGTTGAATTTAAGCAATTTTTTAGGGACTTCATGATCAGACTGTCAGAGTAGGAGTAACAGCATCAGTAGTAGTAGTTGTTGTTGTTGTAGTAGTAAAAGAATACGGTAAGGACAGACAATGTGACTGGACAAAAATGAATAAACTCGAGAAATAAGTATGCGATAATTTTGGAACTCAGGATCTAAGAGAAGACAAAGAGTGAATGAATCTGCACCAATGTGACCGATTCCGAACCATTTCATCCAACGTCTCCTAACATTAGTTACAACAATCGTGCAGACCCCAACCAGACAGACTAAATCTACCTACCAACAATCAATAACTTCAAGGGCCGATTCTACGTCCTGATTTGACTGCCTCTAGATTTCTTCAAACCTACTTCTACATCAGTAAGCATCCCTCCCTGAGGTGAGGTGGTGGTTGGATATGCGTAAGGCATGACCCAATCGTCTCAGTTGATGATGATTCACCGGCTTATTAACCAGTTTGTCATACTCACCTTCTATTCTATGCATTACCTTGGTACTAGTCACTTAGTGGTCCCAACACACGCGAGCAGTGCTTTAAAGGGACCCATGATCAAATGCTGGTAGTAATACAACCCACAAAGTACAGACTCCCCCTATCACATTATGTGTCGACGCTAGTGATACGACCTGGTTGCTGAAAACAAAGTAGGTGAAGTCGGATTCGTATCTGTGACCTGGTGACTGAAAGTTGAACGCTTTAACTATTACCCACCTCTTTAATACAAATGACCTATGAATATACTGCTTCTGAAGACTACCTTTCACATCTAAAAGGTAGAACAGGACGAACATATTCTGTTACTTAATAAGTATCCGGAATTGCATTTCTCTTTGTAAAGAAAAAAAAACTAACCTTCCGGTAGAAATGTAATAATCTACGTCAGGACAATTTTGAATGCTGCAAACACCCACACTATGTCTGAAAGTAGAGTCAAACAAGAAAAAGATATGAAAGAGCCGTTAGACTTAATCAAAGTTTAATAACCTGTCAACTAAAATTTAATTCACGTAGAATAAAATAATTCGTATAACAATTGAAGGAAGAAAACACTACATTCGCTAGTTGTCTAGATCCAGTTAGGAAATCCTTAGTGATATATTTAACAGTTTAGCTATGTATTTTATAATTAAATGTGAGTCTTTTTCCACTTCATTCGGAAACTAATCATTGAAACTTTGGAAACTTTATACTAAATTCAGTCACCAAACGACAGCATATGATTACGCACTTTGTTATGAAAATAATATTCAAGAGGATTCGTGATTAGGACCAAAAAGTAATAGGTATTTGTTTTTTCCTAACATTTTTTGGAGAGGGGTATTAGTTAAACAGTCGTGAGAATCTTACAAAACCTGAAGATCTTGAGTTTAAAAGAATAAGACGAAAACAAGCTGGTCATAGCGCCAGTACAAGCCAATATTTCTCAATAGTTTATCGGGTAAGTAAGTTTTTGCCAGTCTGTCAGATTCAAAGTCCTTTAAACGGTAGAAGCAATAGCTATTCAGAGTATAAAAAACTGGGGCCACATATTCAAAAGAAATATGTCTAACTGCTTCTCTTACCTTGGCTAACTTCAGGACCACTTAATTAATAGTAATCTCGACTATCTAGTAAACTAGTTTGACTAATGTACAACCTTTCTTAGTCTAATATAATTGCCTTTGTTATCCTTATTCATATAGCTTTGTTTTATTATTAGCAGTATTAGTATTATTATTGTTGTTTTGACATTACCAACATGACTAATCAACTTAGCACTCACCCCATGTAATTATTTCATAGACTTAATATCACTTTATACACCACATGGTTTTCCACAAAACATTTAGTCGGATTTGTAGTTCCATTATTTTTTTCACCCTATCTGACCTACATTTATTCTCATCATCAATTTCACAATTTCATTTAACGTATAGGCTTATTCAAGTTAACACTTCATATTATTCATCTCAACATTGACAATTTCATTTTATTTTGCAATAATTTTTAACAATGTACTTTGTCTTAAACCTGGCCACTTTTGAATTATCAATTTGGATATATAATTGTAGAACCTGAAGAGAATCTGTTGAGAAGAATATTTTTCGTCCATATATCAGTGTTTTAATTGTCCATGACTTGATGAACGAACTTGAATTTATAAAAAAATAAAAATTTGAAATAATCACATCCCGAAAACTAATGAGAAAATAACCATTGATATATTAGTAGAAAAAACATGGTCCCATGGAATGGACCAGAATTAAGTTTACTTATCGTATATGAATTTTGTCTATACATGAGTGACACAAAACCAATAGCATTTTTATATTGTAAATGAGTATGTAGTGGTTAAGATATTCGACTTCAACCAGTAGGTCACAGACTCAAACCTCGTTACATCTAATTTGAATTCAGCTACCGAATAGTATAATATATTTATGAATTTGGCTTTTAATGACACTGTTTTAAGAATGAATCTACCTGGCTTCCCAAAACTGAAATAAGGGGATACCTAGTAGTTGAAAAAGTCGAATACCATAATGTCAACGAACTACATGCAAAAAGGGTAGATTAATATACAGTACGATATTCATTTGGTTATTATTAGGTGAATTTACTAAAATTATACAAACCCTTCATCAAGTGAATACATTTGACTTGATATGCATCAATTTGACGTCCTCCAACATATTTCAAAATAGGATTATCTTAAAACTATCAGACTCAGTGCTGCTGATCCAATCAAGTAATCAATGTCAAACAACAGACTTTCAACATGTTTACAGTCAATCAATCATGTGATGGCAACGTAGTTGGCAAAACATACAAACATATATAAACAAATTCAAAGAATCCAGTGATAATAAACGTACGGAAGTTTTAACAGCACATTTATTTAACTTGATCATATGTCTTAGAAGTATTGCCAGCATCAGCTGGTATCAACGTGTAAGTAAAAGTGAGGTGTATACACTCCTTATCTTTCATTAAACCGTGGGATTAGAATTACTTGGTACCTTCCTTTCTACGAACTAATTCTTTCTCTCTGTATTATATCCTTATATGTAATCTTTTTTGTATATTACCACCACTGAAGTAACTACTTCTATGAATTTGGTGTTCATCTTGTGCTAATGAGATGTGGCAACCCGGACCGATGTGTATATGTGCCTGGTCCTACGTTGTAGCTGACTGACTGACATTTAAAATACTTACCTTGAAGATATTTGCGAACACAACCAAAGCCTTCAACAAAGCAAGAATAGACTGACAGTATCAACCAACCAAGCTGAAAACATTTTCTAGGAACTGAACATTTGCATAATAAAATACTTGTATTAGTCTAATCATTGCAAAGCACTAGAAACACAACTGACTTTTACCTGATGATATTCAACGGCTTTTTACATCCTTCACGTAGATCCCAAACACAACATTTTGAATCATCACTACCTGTGAAGACTATTTCACTGTTCCATTTATTTAAACATGCACACCAAGCTTCAAATTCATGCCCAGGCCACTTATTAATTGATCGAGGATTTAAACAGGATGATGTGTCGATCTTCCACACACTAATATTCCCACCTGAATCACTGAAAACAAATCTGTAAGGAATTTCAGATTCAAAGTATTTATTATTACTATTTTAACCTGACCTATCCGAACACGTATCGACAGACAGTAGAATATGATCAGATACTGGAAAATCCATTAATTCAATTAGAGAGGGACTATCATTAGAACAGTTCCATAGTTTTGTTGAGCCATTTGCCAATGCACCAATTGCGACATTACCATTTAGCCAACTTATATCTAATACACCAGAACACGATATATTACTCGATAAAACATACTGATAATCAGTTGAAACTCGACTGAATAACAGTAAGCCACCGAAACGCTCTTGAGTCTCCTGAAAGAGTAAGACAAAACAAAAAGTAATACCACACTATTCAGATCATAATGTTAAATCTAAGTTTATGAATAATGACTACTCAATAGGACATCAACAAAGGAATATGATAAAACATGATGAACTGTTGAAACCTACTCATCCAAAAGTTAAAATAACTAGATGTACTTCACAAAAGGTCACAGACAAAATTAACATTGACTCTAACTTGTGATTATAGTTCAGTATAAGAATTACAGGAAAATCCTGGAATGACCATAACATGACATAATAAAAACCTATTGCTTTACCTATGTGTAGTCTGAGATCCATATACTGACGACCCAACTGTAATGTACTGGTTGGGACACGTTTCTTTCGTTCAAACATACAAAGTAGGTCGGTTAAAACCAATAACACTAACGGCAACAACTCAAAGTCCGAGGACAAAATTGTATTGTTCATTACACAGGGATGAGAAGGGACTAAGGTATTTCCATCAAACTACAATCAATAGACGCCCTGGTACCGCCGAGAGTGATGTCACCCTCTCGAAATGCCCTCACATGGTCACGCGTATACAGCCCCTGTCAGGGAAGTCCTACTCTGTGTCTTCTCGCGGCGGGGGTGTTGTTTACCGAATTGAGAAGACGAAAAGCGAATGTTCAGAGATTTAACCGGGTTAGTGCACCTAGAGGAGTTAGGAAACCCTGATTCTAAACCAATGATGCACATAGGCTCCAGCATCCTGAAGGAACAAATGGTGTATGAACCTATCGTTGGTTACTGGTTACCATAAGACTGTATCTTCTTACGTTTCTCCACTGCCTCGTGGATCAGACCTTTAGTTCAAAGGCTCCGGGTGTGGTCCCCTAAGAAAACCACCTGCTTCGATCTGGGCACCCGGGCAGTATCAGAGCAGACTCACACACAAACCAAGTGACTTGTGTGGTGTATATGTATTCGGTGCCGCTTTGTACCAATCTTTGTGTTCAAATAAATAAATAAACTACTGAGACGCTCCCTTCTCATAATCGGAGAGTTGGAAGTGATCGGGGTTAGAAATGGTACGTCTCACCTTGACTTACGAATTCTTGTCGCTAGCTGTAAGTCCCTCAAAGTATGGAGCTAGTACATTAATAACTACTCGCAAGAAGGATTTGTATGCACAGTCTCAGTAAGTTATTTGAGGCTACACTTCCAGATCGCCAAGACCACTACTAACCCAGTCTTTCCTAGGTATTTCAGTAGGTATTTCCTAATAGTATGGGTAATCATGGAGTGACAACCAACAATACAGTCCTAGCAATACTTCTTCACCGTCAAAAGTGAGTCTGAAGCGCATGCTAAATCCCCATACTTACTGGCAACAACCCGCAAGACAGAGCGAAACTGAACAAGACCAATCACGACAACTAGAGAGCATATGCGATTATCCTACCAACCAGATACTTATTTCTTATCTCATCGACCTGTTTTCGCCTCTAGTTTCCTAGTGTCATTCTTTCGGTTACAATAACAAGATTTGAAAACAAAAAGTCGATTAATTCATCACTTTTATCTATTTCAGTAAGTGATTATGGACGAATTCTTGCCCTGAATTCCAAGGCAAAACGCTTGCAATTAAAAGACTGTTTCGGTCCAGGAACAACCCACTATATTTCTGTAACAAAAGGTAGGTAGATAAGGCGTCTTCACCATAAAAAATGATATGTGGTTAAATAGAAAAATACAGAATCGGTAAAGAAAAGTTTGGAGAATATTGGCATATTAGCATAAATCTAAGGATTATCTACTTATCAATCAGTAAACCTGATGGTGAGACTAATTTTTGAAAGAACCGACTAGATCTAATATAGTAGGTCTATGATTTAGGTGCAAAATTTACTCATTAATGTGGATAAATAGCATTTTGACATTATGGCTTATGTCAGTTCATGAAAACCCCAAATCCAACTGCAGACCTTAACCCTGATTCTTCACACGGCTTTATAACTCCCATTTAACCCTAGCACGTAGGTAAAAATTTAAAGTGACTTTTTAAAAGCCACTTCAGTGTCCATTAAACGTCATCCATAATCTATAATCTCACCAACTTTTTCATTTAATCTAAAAAACCTTAACATACACTGTTTAGTTCATAACTGCCACAGAGAGCCATTGATCCATCTGAGCAAAACTCAACTGTATCAGTGTGATATTCAGCAACATATTTACTTTGTTCTTTCCAACGGAATTTCATCTCGAAATTATCTACAAACTAAAAAAAATGTAACTTACTGAATATATAAACCAAACTTTTGAATTCAATCAGATAATTAACTAAAATAAAAGTTGATTCACACAATGCAAGGGAACAATTCTATAAAGAGCTTCAGTTTGAATTCCAAAAGTACTAAGTCTAGAAAATTAGGAAAGCAGAATGCTTTGAATAAATTTTAAAAGTAATAAGAACCACAGAGTAGGGATTTGGAGATCAATGGTTGCGATAGACAATTTGTGAAAACCTGAACATAATTTTAGGTCCGATAAAAAAGGCTCTAAGCGACTAGATTTTAATTAAATTCATATCAAATCTAATTACACTAACTCATGTCTTTCCCCGACATTCATCTTTAATAAAAACCACTTAGATATGCTTCAAAAATATATTCCATACATTTTTAAAGCAATCAGCCTAAAGATATCTTTTAACTGTCTTCGGTAAGAAACAAGGGATGACCAACCAATATGTTATTAATTACCACTACGTGATAGTAAGTAACATAATATGTGTAAAGACACTCACTTATTACTATGGCAAACTAGAATCGGGATTCAGAGTTAGAAGATTAAGAATTTAAGTAACGGTTCTTATCAGCTGTGGCTACAGCTTCAGTTCCGGATTCACATATTAATGCTAAGTCTGAGCGGTGTGGATGACGTGATCAAGAGACATAATAAGGCCGATGACTGGCTTACAGTTACACGCAGAAGAAAAGTAGGGAAACAGAGTGAGACCCTCGAGTCTGACCTTTGACAGTGAGATCTGTTTGTTTGGTTTCTTACCTAGTAGGGCCGATAGATCAGACCGTAAGGACGATGGGACTACTAAGTGCACGAAAGGTACCTTAACCATACGAACTGTTGAGACAGTGGCACACGACTTAGGGATATGTGAACTGGTGGCTGAAGGCTGGAATGAAAACAGAAAAATTATATTATTTGTAGTATAACGCAATTCAGAATGTGTGGCGGATGACTTACTCCTAAGCAAGCATAAATCCTGATCAAACAGGTGTAAAAGCCCCATAGTAGGTGATGTTCATGAACCGTCTATAAATTAGAGAAACTTAGAATAAGGGTCATTAAAATCTGGGGATTGCCGGGTCTATGAAGTGGGTCAAAATTTCTTGGTAGACGGTAGACAGGAGGTAAAAATGAATCCCAATTGCTCCACCCGGAAACCAGCACTTAGTGGAGTACTGTAAGACTGTCCTAGGTCCTGTACCTTTTATACTGTATGTAGATGAACTCCCAAGTATAGTTGAGTCCGCGATGCTACCATAGGCTGATGTAAAAAATCTGGCGAGAAATAACAGGAGACACAGATCCATGTGCACTTCCAGCAGACTTATATGTTCTCATTAGGTTGTCCAAAAGATGGATGATACCCATCAACACGGTCAATTGCCTACACACACATCGCGGATATAAAGGTTAATAGATGTAGCATATGAGGAGAGCCTGTGTCCGTAGCCCAGCCTCACGAGGATCTTCGGGTGATAGTGAGCCACCATCTTAAGATCACGGCCCACTGTTGTGAGGTCACAGCTAAACGGTTTAGAACCCTATGGGCTTTAAGATGGGTATTCACCAAGTTAGATACTACTATGTTCTCTAAAGCATACGCAACCCTGGCAAGAACTAAATTTGAAAACTGCGTTCAGGCTGCAATCCCCTGTTTAGAAATTGGCTCGGATATCCTGAACATGCACAGAGAACAGCTACTGGTGCAATTTCAGAACTACGGAGCTTACCATACAAAAAGTGGTTTGAGAAGCTAGGCCTCTTTACTCCGTTCTACCACATGTTTAGAGGCAACCTGGTATCGATGTGTAGAATACTAAGAAATGATTTAAGATACTATATTATCCTCTTTTTCTTCCTACCAAATGGTGAAAACTCCCCAATATCTAAAGTTAGGGAAAATTTTGGGGAGATCCCCGAAGTCAAATGACATTCACCAGGGTTAAAGAAGAATTTTGGGGAAATAGAACCAAAACCCCAAGGTCCCCCCCAAAAAAAGTTTACTATAGCGACTCCCCCAAAATGGGTCGAAAATTCCTCAAAATTGGGAGCTCGGGTCAGGACATATTAGGTAAATAGGAAATCTAATAATGAAGGAAATACCAGTGGCATACAGGTTTCCACATCGAGCCATCAATCCTTGGGACCTGTTACCCGATGCAGTGGTGTCCGCATCTTCAACAGACTCATCGGCGAGACTCTAATTTAGGGACGAGCCAATCAGAAGCGTTTGAGCCGTTTATAGGTCACAGAGCCAAGTTTAACACCTGATGCTCACATATGATCGGTTTACAGCGGATTTTAGAAAAGGGATGATTATTGAGAGGCTACAAGAGATAGGATTACTAAAAAGTTCTTGTACGTGAGATTGCGGTTATCAAATGACTGCAGTAAAGTGTGCAAATAACCGTGGTGAGATTATATTTCGTTGTCCTTCATGTTGGAGGAGAAAGTCTGCTAGAACGGGGACTTTCTCTGCTCGATTGCTACTGAAACTGAATCAGATTATGATAATAGTTGCAAATTGGGTAATAAATACACCAGTAACACTGGCTGCGGCGTTTGCAGTTGTTTATGAAAATTCAGCAGTCCAGTGGTATGAGTACTGCCGTGCAACTAAAATAACACTTGTACACCAATCATTCGGAGGAGTAGGATGTATCATGCAGACAGATAAAACGGCAGTGAGAAAGCGAAAATACAACAGGGGACGTAGTATAAAGTAGGATTGTGTAAGTAGCATTTCCGTAAATATACTCGACAGGTACTTGGAATTTATGACTTTTTATACCGTATGCAATATGATTTCAAAACATCTGAAACTTTAGCAAACCTTGATAAGTTTTTAAATCACGTGAAATAAGTATATTCACTGTAATCCATTAGTTTCTTCTAATATATTTCTACGTTATACTAGGTGTCTTGTGATTGGCTATTATTCTCAAGGTCACTCAAAACTCGTTCAAAGGTCGTCCCTAAATTAGAGTCTCGCCGATAATGTCCAATAGATGATGGTCTAACCACTCGATTAGATTAATTTTAGTCAGTTCAGTAGTTATTTGTGGATTTGAATAGTTTGTGATTCAAGTGAGTGAGTTTGTCTCAGAGCAGCAGGGTTTGTGTGTGCCAGAAGCCATCAAGAGGTTTAAGATTATCATATGGACGGGCAACTTTAGATTCCAGTAGGTCGTCCAGCTGTCTCAGACCATGAGGAAATTGAAGGCGAAGGACATCCCTTTACCAAGCCCCTGTGTACTTTATGGGAAATCTTATTTTTATTCATATATCCCTTTATTTGTCCATTGGTCATTCCTTCTACCACCTTCAACAATATTACGAGTAATGTGACTGGTCTGCAACCGGCTGGGTCTTTTCTATCTTCTTTTTTGAAGATTAAGGAGAGAACAGTCTGTCTCTATTCTCTTGGCAGTTGATTTAAATCTATTAAGCAACTGAATATGTCATACACTGGCCTGCTAATGCTCACTGTTTCATGATTGTAGTTTGGATGTTGTCGCGTTCCAATGACTTTCCTGGTTTAGGGACCGTATTTTCCTCAGTATTAATTCGGGAGTTAGTTAGATATCACCCAAACTATCAGCCGGCCCTAGAGTTGAGGAGTATTCCGTGTTTTTATGTTCCTGGTTTAATTGGTCAGTGTATTTAGCATTAAAGAACTCTGCCACCCGCAAAGCAGCAAGATCATTTCCATTTTTCCCGTTTGAAAGCACAGGGCCCCAGATTTGTCGACTCCCTTCTGGACGTGAATTTGAAGAAATATTTCGAATTAGTTTGTCCCTCGGTTGCTAGCTTGGGCAGGAAATATCTCCTATCTCCGGACAATGAGCAACTAGCGAATTGTGCCATGCTATCTTTCTGGTCTGTAGCAAGCGTTGTGTGTCACGCTCAACTCAAGATCCTCTATTTCTCTATATGTGCCTTGGCCAAGGTACATTGTGTAGGATAGCATTCCAAATGATATCCATCAAAATCTCTCAGTGATCATACACTGTTAGTCTCCACCATTCTTGTAACCATGGGGTACGTTGAAGATGCTTTCTTATCGTCGTGCGGTCAAAATTTGTATAGCTAAGATAGGGAGCCACTAAAGCTTGTTAATTAACAATAATACCTGGTCATAAATATATAGTCAGTGATTAGTATCAGTCGAGCTAGTAAGCTGTAAGTACTAGTCAATATTACAGTACAATACAAGTGAGAATTATTCACCAGATTAACATGAAAGTTGATTAACAAGTAAAAGTCGATCGATTAATTTAAAGTAAATATGAGAAGTAGTAGCAGACTGTGTTTCTTTAGTCGGTTTCACCAATGTAGAGTGAGTCGATTTGGTGACCTTCTTGAACATCTGGGCTACCTGTTTCTGTCGTCTATATACTTCAGCAAGTTATCCAATCTTGTTTGTTTTGATACATCATTATGGCTATTAATCGCATAACCTGTTGAAGTGCGTTTCTGAAAAGTGTACAAGTTACAAAAGACCCAATCAGATATATCATGGTTGTTGGTAATATGCAGCGAAAAGAATGTACATTTTTTTGGATTTTGATTTACTGAACTGCTAACTTTTAACTGGCAACAACTCAACATTTATCATTAGCATGGACTAAGAAGTAAGAAACGGAAACTTATTGAAATACTTCGTGTTGAGAAGTCTATTACTTACTTACTTACTTACTTTCGCCTGTTACTCCTCGTGAAGGAGCATAGGCCGCTTACCAAAAATATAGTGTTGGATGAAACTAATAATAATATAATGTTATGGTCTACTTCGGTACTGGTACAACTACCAAAATAGACCTAATTCCAAACATTCTGTAGATATGCCATGATGTGATTACCTAATCTATAAGGCATTACGTTAAAGTCACATAATTTTTTATACTGACCCGTCCTACGTGACAATCTTTAAGACTACGTCTAGCACTTCTGAAGAACACGTCCGAGCTAGGAAGAGAGTGATGCATTCGAAATAACAAGAGGGAGGTTATGTGAACACGCCTGCTTGGCCGAGTCACTCCATTTCGAACACGCTTAAAATAAAGGTCTGCGTGAATATCATTTAAACGTCAATGTGGGACTACAATAATAAATAATTATTTGGTAGAGATAGTTTAATAAGTTCACATTAAGATTCATAATGATAACCATTGATTAAGAGCTGTTGGCATTGAACCAACACCAGTATAATTGCGTCATCTTGGTTGATTTGATGCTGTGTGGAGTTATGGCTTTGTAGTCACTGGTAATGTGTGTCGCCACTCCTCCTTCTGGTTTGTGTACCCTACCACACCGAAAATATCTCATGTCTTGCTAGCAAACATTCCCATCTCCAAAGCCGAGCGACGACAATATTCCAGTTGGGACTATGATCTTCAGATCCAACTATAGGCACGCTTCTGGTTTCCCCTAATTTATCCCTTAGTGTTCTTGCGTTGCTATGGAGGTGCTTGATGGTTTGTTTTATCACCTGATTCTCTTCCACAGCAGCATGTTTTCTGGATTTTATTAAAGCTTCTGTTGGATCCAAACTAAGGTTTGGACTGAAGAATAGCTGTCAAGTAGGTTAGATATGCGCCCTTGCCCAGTTAAAACTGAAACAAAGTGAGTGGGTAAAATGACGGCTCTGAAATTCATCATAAATTTAAATGTACATTGCTACCTAAACAAATATGACCACCCAGCTACTCAACCAATAATTGTTCAATTAATCGAATCTAAATTACAATAAATAAGGAAGTTGATAAAGGATGCGTGAAAATTAAAAATCACAACAAATCAATGTTATTCTTTCCTGTTTAGATAGACCACGCACAAATTCATTCAAATGATGATATTTGGTTGCTTCATAACAATTCCAATTCCGGAGGAATGCTTCAATTCACAATCAAAAAATGCACAATTCCAGTCAATACAAGCAACATAATCATAAGGAGAAACAAACCAAAATGGCTGCCGCCAAGACTAAGTATCAAGTATTACAACATTAATGCAGTTCAGGAAGAAACATGGAAACTTGGTGAAGGCGTAAGAAAAATAGAAGCTATAGTAAAATACAAATATTTCCAACTAAAATGGAATAAAAATGACTGACAAAATGTACAGACCGCAAGTGTATAAATGGAGGGATTTTCACACACAAGACATTCAAAATGAATTTTACACTGCTGTTAGAGAGGGTTAACCAGTTCCTTCCCAACTTGCCGCTTTTGGTTTTTTTTCTGCATAGCGTATCTAATCACTGGGACCGTGGTCTCAGTATTCTGTACTGTGAGTTGCTGATCAAGGTCGACCGAATCCAGGGCATGATTTGTTTATCTATTTTGCTGTTGCATGATCAATCGAGGCCGACCCTCACAATATCCCGTGTGACTAGAAAGGCCATTCTCAGAGCTGTTTAGGCCCGAAGAACCTAAGATCCTTTCAGTTTCTGCAGTACGTGGCAATCAATCACAGAGACTTTATGGTCGTGAGGTGTGGCGAATGAGGTAGTTTGGACACGCCAACTATCAAAGTGGCGTGGAGGCCTATGGCACATGGCGGCCAACGTCACGATTGAATATCGTGTTTTTGAGCTTTATTTCGACAATGACCTACCAGCCCACTCTTTTCGTGAACCACCATACTGGTTAGCTTAGAGCGCCTGTCGATCTTCTAAAGGTATTTCTTACGGCCCATGGTCGGTCGTGTCTAACTCGAATTCGAGAGGATCGCTAAACCGAAAGTCTCTGAGACGCTGGTAAAGTTTTTTCTGTAAAGTATGTTCAGTCCGGATTCATCTTTAATATGGGGCTTCACTTCTGCCACGTTTTGGCCCTCATACAGTCGGCATAGCTTGGTTCAAGAGATGGCCTTTCCAAGCACTGCACAGCATTTATCCCACTGTTCTTTATCAAAAGCTTCCCTACTTTCTAACAAGCTACTTCCCGACATTTAAACATTATGAAAAATTAGGGAGTTTTGTCTAACGCCCTTGACCCCATCTTTAGAGTTTTGAGGCCTATGCTTTGAGCATTTACTCTCCCAACTCCCATTGCTCCATACTTTCAACAGACACTGGGTTTTTTAGCAGTCGGTAACCTCATTGATGTATGAATTCAGATTGTGGGTCCCATGGTCGCGTGTTTGATTGAACCTGTGATGGACGAACTGGGTATACCATTAAGGATTGTTTCTAATGCAGTCTTACTTTTCATTTTTATTAGTTCCAGGGGTATATTTTTTTACACTGTGGGCAAGCGTACCAGAATCCTAGACAAATGCGACTTAACATGAACCCTAGGTACTGTCTAGATACCAGAATATCACAGTGATATGAATCAGGCCACCACGGAAATGCCGATTCGCCGGTTTCAGTGACGGAGCTCTCATAAATCCGTTGCGAATGTGACCGTGCTCATAGCCTAATGACGCCCATATGGACTGATAAACTGACCTTTTCTGTGGGGGAGAACAACAGAAAGATCGGTGTTGTCCATTGTAAGACGGTGAGCATGGGAACTCTTCTATTAAATCCATGTTTGATCACTCCTTCCACGAAGATAACTACGTTTACTTTTGAATTGATAAACGTCGTGTAATAGGAAGTGATACAGTTATTAATGTCTGTTCGGACATTCAGAGATGTAAATTTGAGAATGAATATCTTGATGTTATGGATGATTAAGCTTGGGTTACCGTAAATTTTGGATCTCAAAATTATGAACCGGTGCAATGCATATACAGACCACCTCATGCAGATACTGACTTTGATAAATTACCAACAAGCATATTTTTTCATTTCGTCACACCAACCGCATAGGTCTAGAATCATTGGAGGTGATCTTAATCTACCGGACAATACAGGGAGTTCGGACTCGGTACCTGGTCAATATAACAAGTTACCTGAAGCATTAGAACTTTTTAGATGGGTCCAACAAGTATAAAAATCGACCAGG